AAAAAAAAAAAAAAAAAAAAAAAAAAAGATAGGCAGGCAAAGGTTGTTTCAGTTCTAGCTATGTTAATAGTCTTATAATTTCTTCGTTTGGGTTTGAGGTGGTTTTTTTTTTTCAGATAAAGATTAATGAACAATTCAAGGAACAAGTACCTTCGCTAGGAATGCTGCGCTACACAATCCAAACTACTGTTCGGATTTTATCCAAACCACACTGCAGGAAAAAGCAGCTTTGACATTAACTTAAAAGGAGGAAAGATTTCAATGTTGTAGACTCACATTTCCTCACACTCATGCATGTTCTTTCCAACAACAAAACGGTCGTCTTACATTTGGCAAGTACTGCCTCTTGCTACCTCTGCTATAACTTTGTGGGGGCTTCGCTGTAAGCTGAATAGCTGAAGTGATGAGTTTAAAGAAAATCCTTGAGAGGAATGGCAGTTATCAAGTCAATTTTGTCACTGTAGAAAAGTACCTTTTATTTAACCTGTCTCGGTGATCAGCTTCTCTTTTTCTGCTGGACCACTGCCCATCAGCAGGACTCTGGCCTCTAAGAGGCATTACAAATAGCTTAGGAAGCACTCGGGAAGGGCAGTGTTAACTGCTACCGCTGACCACAGCTAGACCGGGGAATAGGGGAAGGACTGCTCAGAGTTTTCTGAGTGTGAGAAATATGAGCACATTAAGGCTTCAATGCACTGGACATTAAAATGTGTGTTTAACATGTTTTATTTAATATCAGCTGGTTACTAACTGCTTTCCACTGCTTCATCCTACACACCAACCTGAAAGATGGCTGTAGCAGTCCCTCTGAGTCAGTGTCCAGCATGTATCACTGATTACATATCTTTATAATCCAGCTGTTTCTCTTCCCCACCCCACCCCCCCAAAATGCAAAGTCTGTGCAACATACTGTGTTTGGGTCCTACCTAAAAAGAAGGGCTGCCCTTGTGAAAAAGTTTACCCCTCATTACACAGCTCACAAATGAGGAAAGCACAAGACCTCCTGCCAAGTAACTTACAAAACATCTAATTCTAATTATCTGCTGTTCTATCTGTACCTTTCAATACATGAAAGAATCGAAAGGTCTCGGTGAACTGTGGCAATTTGTGATTTACATCAGTCCATCTATTCTTACAGTTCAACGAGGTGTTTAAATAACACCACCATGCATTAACTGTAGCTGAGCGGGTCCAGAGAAGGCCACAAAGATGGCCCCCAACATCAGAAGGACATGGACCTGCTCGAGCAGGTCCAGAGGAGGCCACAAAGATGATCAGGGGCTGGAGCACCTCCCCTGTGAGGACAGGCTGAGAGAGTTGGGGGTGTTCAGCTGGAGAAGAGAAGGCTCCGGGGAGACTTTAGAGCGGCCTCCCAGTGCTTAAAGGGGCTACAGGAAAGGTGGGGAGGGACTCTGCATCAGGGGGTGTAGGGATGGGACAAGGGGTAACAGTTTTAAACTGAAAGAGGGCAGATTTAGATTAGATGTAAGGAAGGAATTCTTCCCTGTGAGGGTGGTGAGGCCCTGGCACGGGTTGCCCAGAGAAGCTGTGGCTGCCCCCTCCCTGGCAGGGTTCAAGGCCAGGTTGGACGGGGCTTGGAGCAACCTGGGCTGGTGGAAGGTGTCCCTGCCCATGGCAGGGGGGTGGGACTGGGTGATCTGTAAGGTCCCTTCCAACCCAAACCAGTCTGTGATTCTGTGAATATAAGCTTCAAAGTATGCATACATACCTCCTGGCTTAGTGAAAGCGTGGAGTACAAAGTTAAGTGATAATATTCCTAGATTTAGGATAGATTTATCCAATCTGCCTTCCTGCCTATATGAGGTCACAAACCTCTGTTATGTTCTAAATATAGTGCCAATTTATTATTGCCTATATTTGCACCTCATTGTAATTTTTGGGTGCAGTAAGTCTGCAATAAAATTTGTTTTTATTCCCTATGCCTGTCTCAGATCTGACCAATCATGAGGGAATAATAACCAGTAGAAGACCATCACACAAACTGTAATTCTATTTAGAATCATAAACTTCTTGTTTATTTGTGTTATTACTATCAAGAGGATGTAGAGCCTGTAACTGTAAAGATATAAAAAATATTTCAGTGCAGTTCTTTTACAGTTATCTTTTTCCTATAAACACACAGCACCATTTTTTGTTATAGTCCACATACTGTCTTAAATTCTGTTAAATCACAAATTAAAAGAGGAAAGTGTACCATGTGATAGTTATCAAGGGGAGTTAAGAGTTTTGTGGGACTCTGACAACAGAACTGTCCATTTGAATGAAGACCTCACTTTCTTTAAGACTTGAATGAAAGCAACACCCATAGAGTTCATCTGGAAACATGAACCCTATGAAACCAGGTTACTGCCCTACCAAGCAGCACTGCCCCAGGACTGAGAGAAATAGAACAAAATGAAGCCTTTCAAAGTAACAAAACTTCAGTCCATTAGAAATTAAAACCTCCTAAATCAATTCAGTTACACATAAGAACTCACAGTGACCCTATAGATCGTTCCATCCAGATGAGCCTAAGGATTCAGCATGGATGTGTTGAGTTTTGAAGAAAAATGTGCTTTAAATGCTCAGATCCTAGGAATGTGCTGTAGCTGACAGAAGGCTACCTTGCAGAGTCCATAATGTAAGTTCACATCGAGTTCATTCTTACTCTGTTGGCATGAATACACACACCAAAGTCCTTCAACACCCAAGAGGACCTTGTATTGTGGCATAGAGACTTTGATAAGTATTAAGCCCAGCAGCAACATTAATTTATTTTTGTTTCTTTTAAGAAGTCCAACACATTGCATACCGGTTGGAAGCCTTAAACCACCATGAAGCTGCAAACCCACTGGGACTGAACTGAATCAGACTGTAAGAAAACAAAAATTAGCCACTGAAACTCAACACACTTTTCCAACAGTATATTCTAAGGCACCCATCTTACTGATGCAGGGCAAAATGCCCATTTAGTCTCTGTAGTCCATTCGATCACCAGACACAAAAGATAACTAGATAGATTTATTTACATTATTAAACTCAGCCTTCTGAAGGCATAAGATCAGCTATCAATGATGTACTACTTCTCAGTTAGGATCAGAAGCCAAAAGCTTGTTTAGAAAGACTTAACTCTTCTTCAGCCCAGGGCAAATATTGGAAGAGCAATTTCTGGATTCACTTTCAACATACATACAATAATATCTTCTTGGCCCTAAGTTTTGGCCCTAAATGATTTATTTTTCCCAGCACTCTTAAACCTTTACTCTGCATCAGCTGTCAGAGGCTTGCTCAGGATAATTACAAAAAGTGACTGCTTGCAAAGCCTCACTGAAACCTACACCTTCAAACACAAGAACTTTACAATATATCTGGCACTGTTTAGAGAACATGTTTCTAGAACAATGCCTGTTCCCACGCGAACACTGACCTTGCATTAGCATCATTTTTTCATTGCCAGCAACCAAAAGCTGCTATCTACACTAAGTGTTCACTAGTAATTTGATCTTAATTTTAAACAGCAAAATGAAGTGAATAAATCACCAATTATCACACGAACCGTTGCTTGAGTGTTTAATTTCTTCTTAGCAGAGAAACAGCAGAGGCACAACAGTATGTTCTCAGTAAAAATATTCACAATCCACAGATCTGGCTCAAGTTTTGTTTGACTTCATTCAGGTATTTGTTGGACAGCAGTCTAAATTCCAGTAAATTTTAAAGGGAAATGTCGATTTGAGATTGTTACTCTAGCTAGTTCAACACTGTTTACTTCTTGACAGTGCTCCTGGTGAAGCATTTGCTATAGGGTTATTATTCCAGACAGATTTTTTTTTTTGCTGCAGCACTGACAAAGAGCTCATAGCCAGCCTGTACTGCAGTGCCCCAGCACCATGCTGCAACAAACAGAACACCTTAAGTCGTACCTAGAACATAAGCAGTAAAGATAAGGAAGCCACAAATTATTTCCTGTGCTTTTAATATCATAAAAACAAACTATGAAAACAACAATAATAAAAAAACCCAAGCATCAGGTAGGTTTTTGTTTTTTAAAAATTAATCTTACAAGAGGTCTTAATTTCAAAAACTTAGAAAATATATTCAAGTGTGGAAAGTTACTTTACTGATAAAACAGCATTTCTTTATAATGTGCTTTTTCACCAATCAGGATCAGGAAGCGTACACATATCAAAACCATCAGAACAAATCATTCATACCATCAGAACAGGTCACTTTTCTATATTCCAAGAACAGCACGAGTATTTTAAGTCAATTTAACTGTAGTATGCCAAAAGAACAAAGCAACATAAAACCGATGAGTGATAAAGACAATACAGGGAATATACACAAAAGAGAAGATCTATCAAGTCTTCAGAAGCCACAACTTAGTGTGAGGAAGTGCTTAGCTCTTCAGCTGGCTTTGTTTCACTGACCACTTGTACTGAGTAACTTGGTATCAAACAGCAAAATACGGTAGTATTGACTCCTGTTTACAGTTTAGAGGAAAACCATGTCCACTTTACAGATGCCCATTGTAAATTTTGGATATTACAGCAGTCAGCAATGGGGAACACAAAACCAGCCAGATGGTTTTGTACTGAATAGAATAAAAAGCATTCGTATGTTCTCTTCTGCTAATTTCAGCCCAGAGTTTTAACAAGCAGCACAGAGCTGCAGCATCCCTAACTTCTCCAGCTAGTTTGGAAGAGATTTTTAGTTTGTGTCATTAATTACCCAGTTGTACAATCACTGATTTAATCTAACAGCTACATTATCACTTAGTATGCTCCATGAAAATATTTTGTAACACCATTTTCAGTTATAAAGAGCAACAGCTAATCATGGTAGCTCACCCTAAGCTATCCTCATTAAAGATGATGGAAACAGGCAGTATGTCACTGGCACTTCTCCCTAGGCTGAAGCAATTGTGTTCTAATAAAGTTCTCTTCAAAAACTCCTGCATGCATACCAAGTCCAATTCCAACTACATACCCTCTATGTAAGAGTTTACACTGGGTTTGTCCAGCTAGGCGTAAGCTTCCTAAGTAATGTTCCAGGTAGTGGTGGCTTTTTCTGTTTGGTTGGGTTTTTTCAATGTTAATTACAGAAGTCAGATTTAAAAGGAGCCTGCATTTGAATAGCATGAAAGTAAGCACTTGATTGAAACACTGCCTCATATATTCTAAATCTCCTAATCTGCCCAGAAGAAGCTTAAACTACTATACAAATTAAACACTGAATAAAAATATCCAATAAATATTTATTCCCCGGATAAGCTTATCAGGTACAGATGTAAGTGTGTGTTCTGGCAACTGCCTTCAAAGTTCCACAAGCAAATGCTACAGTTGCACCCATCACTACATTTCAAAAGTCAAAACCTGGTTTGTGCATGCAAAGCAGATCTTTAACACTACTTATACAATCAACAGCAAATTATAAAACCAGAAAAGCACACCATGCCAGTGTCACACTTAAACAACACTGTATCAGTAACAGGCAAATTTAGGGTTAAGTCTTTTTTTCAAAGTTGTAGAAGAAATACAAATATATGAACCCCGCATATCCTGTTAAGAACAAACAGTAATTAAATAGTGATCCTTTCTTCACCACATACAGAAATAACAATGTATTTACAGTATTTACATTTTCAAAAATTCTGGACTTCTTGCATTGTTTTGCAGGATTTCATATTCTTCAGGCTGAAAAATAGTCACACAATAGTTCAGAACATAAACAGCTTCTGATTAGAGATAGGTTACCAATTTAACTTACTGATGTAAGGACTAGAGTGCCTTAAAAGGAAATAAACCCACCGATTTCACCTAAACATCCCATTATTTGTGGAATTACATCACAAACTACAGATGTTTTAACATGTTCTACACCAGTTAAATATTGCTCATTTTCACAGTTTTCCTAATTTAAATCTTAAAAACAAGTGAGCTGCAGTCATAACTGCTTTTGTATTCAGGTTGCTGCTGTCACTGCAACATGTTAAGATCAGAATTACAAGTTCCCCTCATTATTTTCAGTTACAAAGAAGTATATTCTCACGTATGTAGCTACATTTGATTTTAACTCAGCTTAAAATAGAAACGTACCAGTCTGAAACAAATCTGCTGATACTCAGATCTACTCCTAAATTCCCAAGTTAAGATGGACAGTCTTAACCTGCAGTCTTGAAAACTACTTTAAAGCAGTTGAAAGCTTTAAACTACAAATTTAAAGCAAGACACACACAAAATCCCAGAATCAAAGGTAGTATTTAAAAAGAAAATGAAAACATTAAAAATCTGCATGAGGAAGATGGTATTTGTGTTCAGAGCTGTTCTAAGTTGAAAATAATCAAAGCACCTGTTCTGACTAACAGTACTGAAGATAAAAAGTGAAGGCTTCACAGTAATACACACTTTCAGTGTCACTTTTTTACATTTTTTCCTGAAAACACGGTAGGGATTCAAAACTTGCAGACTAGATATGGGAAAAATAGTCCAAACTTCATAGCAACAGAATTAACAGTTAAAGCAAACAGAAATGATGTAACTGACCTATTTCTTACACTATAAGACTTCAAAAGAAAAATAATCAGTTTGAAGCCCTTCACATGCATGTGACAAGAGTTGTTGGCAAAAGAGCTCTGAATCATTCAGCATGCCCTACATACTAATCAATGTAAATTAATTACAACCAAAGTCTAAGAAGGTAAAATCAAAAGGAAACCTGATGAGATTATTTAGTCCTTTTGTATCAGAGAAGGCAACATTAGCTTTCCAATGCATTATTTGAGAGATTACACAATCAGGAGCTGTATTTGCTGCTTTCATAAACAACAGAAATCACTGTCAATCTTTTCTAGCCTCTTACAACCAAGAGTAAGAAGATTTATGAATTCTCTCGACATGCCACAAGCATCTTCTTCAAAAGAGGGAAGATGCTACTGTGAAAACAGAACTTTTCAAGTTGAAAAAATGTCACGTTTGGTCAGAATTGTAAGATCCTGTGTTCAAAATCAGTTTGAACTGCTGAGTTTCAGCATTCAGCATTACACAGAAGTCTGGAATTGGCAGCATAGCTGCACGTAAGGCATTTTAGGAATGATTCCAACACAGCTCGCTGCCTCCAGCATTTTATTAGGTTCAACAATCACAAGCAACCTCTCAAATTTTAAGACCGTTTACTACTAAACCCATAGTCATTGGGATCAACGCTGAAACATCTGCAGCCCTTCCATAATAACAGACGCAGCCCGAAGAGCGAGCGTTTCCCGTGCGTGGAGAACAGCTGTCCGCACAGCTAACTTCACCCTGTCGACTAAGAGAGGTCACTTCCCGGAGCCAAACCTCACTAACTGGCCCAGTCCTGAAAGCGGAAGCAGTCACTGGCGATTTTCCACACTGTGTTGGTAGGTGTGGCTTGTGCTGTCAGCAAGAAGTTCTGATTGAAGTAGCGCTGCTTGTCACCATCAAATTTTACTGTCCCACTTGTCACCACGAGGACTGTCGTCTGGCCTTGAGTAGCTTGCTCTTCACATGGACAAAAAGTATAAAGAAAACAACTCAAAGACTAACAGGTAAAGTAGGAAGTATACACAAAAGTTTCATTCGGTTCTGGTTATACTAGTTATAGGCAACAACTGCTTACACATTCACAAAAAGTAGTTTTGCCGCATCATTTCTATACAGACAACGGTGTTTCTGCTTGCCAGCACTGCTTTTTAATGGCTTTTCTATTCTCATCTCATGTTGTTCATTTTAAAGCACTATAACAAACACCTGAGTTTTTGAGATGTACATATATATATATGTACGTGTCCTTACGAGGACAGGCTGAGAGAGTTGGGGGTGTTCAGCTGGAGAAGAGAAGGCTCCGGGGAGACCTTAGAGCGGCCTCCCAGTGCTTAAAGGGGCTACAGGAAAGGTGGGGAGGGACTCTGCATCAGGGGGTCCAGGGATAGGATGAGGGGTGTTGGTTTTAAACTGAAAGAGGGGAGAGTTAGATTAGATATAAGCACAAAATCCTTCCCTGTGAGGGTGGTGAGGCCCTGGCACAGGTTGCCCAGAGAAGCTGTGGCTGCCCCCTCCCTGGCAGGGTTCAAGGCCAGGTTGGACGGGGCTTGGAGCAACCTGGGCTGGTGGAAGGTGTCCCTGCCCATGGCAGGGGGGTGGAACTGGGTGATCTTTTAAAGGTCCCTTCCAACCCAAACCGTTCTGTGATTCTGTGAATATATATATATTTAGCAAGTTGCATACAATCTCTAATATCAGGGAAAAGAAGTGTATCTTTTTTACAGCAGAGCAAAATAAACACACTTGACCACAGGCTTTTTCCTTACTTATATTCCCAAAATATCCATTAGAAGTCATTCATTAATTTCTCAACCATGTAAGGCTTTCTTTAGCAGTTGTTAATCAGAAATCTAAAGAACTTAACATCTATTCTACATGTAAAGCAAACAAAGTACATGCAGGTTAATGATCTGTTCCCCATTATACTGCAGGTCAGTATCAGGATACAGTAGAGGTCTCCTGACTCTTACACACTGTCAAGGACAACCTAACCTGGTAAACCAGACTTTTTAGATACATGAAAAGACATCGCATCTGAATATGATCTCAACAAACAGTCCTTAAAATATTTTCTCAGACATGAGAAAAAAATGTGAAGTTGCTTGATCTCTTATTTTGTGCTTTATTTATGCATAACTTGACATTCCAACCCTCAGTATTTTCTCTAAGCTTGTTCCAAAACAAATATTAAGCACTATTATAACTGCACTTCACACTTTCAACAGTTATAAAAAGACTGAAAAATAAATAAGTAGACTGTAATACAACCTTACCGTGAACAGGCTGGCAGTCCAACATATTAACCTGGAATTCACTAGATGGTAACATTTCAAAAAATTTATTCAGTTCTTCTTGCCCAGACACTGCATTACCATTCCAAATTAATGTTGCCTTGTCCAAATAAAGTCTTGTTAAAGCCTGAGTGAAAATATGTATTTGGGGAAAATGTGTAAACACATACAATGGACAACATACAAAACAGTTACTGCTCCTGACCAAGAATTAGAAATTAAACATATTCTGCTTTAATATTGCATAGTGACTCATATGCCTCCAAATTTAAATGCTGATGAGATTCTTTAACAAAGCTAATGGCAGAACTGTACGTACTAGTTGCTAACTAGTCCCACCTTTCCAGAATAATTACCACTTTTTTTTTGACGGAGAGGGGTGTGACCAACACACGTTATGTCAGGAAAGTATAATTTCAGGTGGTGGTGGCAGGGAAAAAGTAAACAAGAACAGGAACAGTGAAAACTTTCAAAGGCCAGTTATCTGCAGCAGTAGACCAGAACTTCCCAAATGTTTCATAAGCTGTAAAAATAGAGTAACTGCCCAACTCACCTTCAAGCTGTTGATACATCTCTGCCTAACCTACTTATGCTCAAGGTAACTATGAAGTAACATGCAACTGCTGATATTTTCACACAATCTAAAAGTTATTAAGTTAAAATTATAATACATTATAAAGAACAGTCTCCACAGCTCTCTTTTGGTGCAAACATCAGTGTGGTCCATGAAGACTTTCAGAGCCAGATATAGCTGTTTCCACTTTATCCTCAGGCAGTCCTGAAGACTCCCAGAAACAGAAGTGATAACTGCTAATAAAAGAAGTTTGGAAGAAAAATAAGCTAAATCCTGATCTCAGAGACAAATAAAGCAAGTTTTATCTGCCCTTACTGATCAAATCCTTTACCTGTAAAACATAAGTTGGACACGAACTGAACTATTATCATGAAGGAGTCTAAGGCACTTTCTGAAAAGGCCCCTTCTACAGTGCTGCACAGTAACATAAAATCCTCTACAAGGCAGTCTAAGAGGAACAGACATCTCAGCCTGGCCAAAAGAACACATGGTAACCAACTTTCAGGTGTAAAGCTAGTTAAACAAGCAAAAAAATGCACAATCCAGTTCTAACTACTGTCGAAATACCTACATACCCTTCTTCTTTTATCCATTGTCTCATAATAAATGTTGACAAATTCATCTGCAGCTCTACAAGCTTGATCCACATAGGTTTTGAAATCCTGGAGAGAAGAAATAATACCAAATCACTTAAAGTTAGGCAATTTTATATAACCTGGTCATCTGTGCAACTTCTCCAGCAAGTCACTTCTGCTGGTCTTTTCCATCCTCACTGGAAGATGATGTCAAATAATGTTGAAATTGATTCCAAACTCCTTTTCTACTTGCAGAAGGTACCAGCTTTTAGCCAGGTTACAGTTTCAGGATTCATTTTGAATGCCAATATATTTATTGTATTTAAATTGTAAATATTTACATTGAAAAATGGGCTAAGTTTGTTGCAAGTGGTCTGAATGTGCACATGTTCAGTACAAACATTTGGTGCTGTGATGGCTGTTCTGTAATAAAGGTAATGATCAAGACTTATTCAATATATTTCTGAAAATTAGCAAGAACCCCATCACACTGCCACCAGAGTCTCATTTTTTAAAACACCTTTATATATACATATATAAATGCAATAATATATATAATTGGATATATAGATATAAAAATGGGAGAAAACACACACACCCTGGATATATTCCAGTATCAATCACTCCAGTGCTATATGCACGGGTAAAACACCTCTCACATCTCACTAACTTCCTTACATCTCTCTATTTTTATTCATCCAAAGGTAACTGCCTTTGTTGTCACATCACTGCTCTGTGATCTCATCTGGTTATTTGTTCAGTTTGTTTTGCTGTTTGACCCTTGATCTCTTACAGACCCTGACCTGTGACATCCTGGGCAGTAGTGATTCTGAACTTTCTGTCCATACATCTATAAAACTGCATTTGGTTTTGTTACAATATTTTGTTTAAAAAAAATCATTTAGCATTATTCTATTTCAGCATTATATTCTCAGTATTTGCAACTCAATCAGTACTTCACAATTTAACTACTTACATTTCCTTGGCATCCCTGCTTATTCCACAAACAAAATACTCTCATGTTGCTACCTACTATTCTTTTAATCTCCCCCTCTAAGCACACCAGCCTGTTCTTCACCTTCCTATCTTCTCCAGAAATTTCTGAACCTGCAGGCCAATTCCAGACAAATATGACAAAGTAGCCTTAAAGATGCTGTATTCCAGCAAGTGCCAAGAGAAACTCTTTGGCACTGGGAGACAAAGAGTATTAGACCTCCCGCTAAGGGAACAGTGATCGTAATTCTGCCTGTTACATTATTCAGGGTAGATGGCTGTTACCTCTCAATCAGCACACACTTGGACACATACACTTTCTAGCCAGCAGCCAAACACGTTGCCATTTAACTGCCAAACAGAGAACGGGTGTGAGGGAGAGTGTTAAGAGACACACCAGGAGACTGGAATGAGCTGTTAGGGTACCTGCCATGTAAGTCAAATGGAAAATAAGCTTTGTTAGTTTTGATACTCCAGACATTCTTTATAACCACAGCCTGGAAAATACTTTTAAATTCTGAGAACAATTTAGGTTGGAAGAAACTTCTGGAGGTCACCTGTTCTAAATCCCCACTCAAAGCAGAGCCAACTTCAAAACTTGATGTAACTTCAAAGTTAGATCTGACTGCTCAGGGTCCTATCTCCAGTTATATTTTGAACACCTCTAAGAATGGAGATTTCAGTTTCTTGGGGCTCCTGTTCCAACGTCTAACCACCTCACTCGAGAATCTTTCTTCTTAGTATTTAACAGGAAACCGTGCATAAAATCCCCGACTGACCAAACAAAAAACCACCCCTTGAAGATTCTGACAATTCCAAGAAGCCAGCCAAGCGACATGGTCTCTGCAGACGGGCTCTGTAAGACAGGGTGGCCACCGCACAAACCGCTGTCCGGCCTCAGCCCTCTGCTCGAGGATGTGCGGACGCTGGAAGCGAAGGCGGGGGAGGAACCGGCCGCACACGGGCGGGAACCGGCGCTGCCCCGGGAGCAGCCGGAGGCCGAGGGACGCGCGGGAAGGGGCCACGCACCCAGCCCTGCGCTCCGCCGCGTCCCTCCCCAC